AGAGTGGTCATCTTCGGGGTGGGAGAGAAGGTCTGAAAGTAGTCAACTCCCTGCCGCTGACTGAAGCCACGAGCCACGTAACGCGCCTTGAAGACAGGCGGAGAACCCGGCGGTCGCTTCACCCTGAAAATCCACATGCCACTGACGATGTTCGCCCCAGGAGGGGGAACAGCGTCAACGTAGGTGCCTGTGGACTTCCAGGAAGCCATCTCTGCGTCCATAGCTGCCTGCCACTGAGAGGAGTAGGGACCCTCTATCGCCTCCGCGTAAGAGCGCGGAGTCGGGATGTCAAGTGCATCCGGGTCTCCCTCAGGGGTAAGCAGTACGGACACGAGATGAGGTGAAGCAGCGGCCAAGCACTGGAACTCCTCCTGCCTGTCCTCAAGGACGTCCGTGCCAAGGGCACACTCACCCCCGACGGACGGAGGACAGACAGACTCAGACTCAGCAACAAGACTGGCGACGTAGTCTAGGCGACAGCGAGCAGCAAAGTCGACGAGCTCAGCAACTAGAGCAGACGCAGCAGTGGACTCAAAGGAAGGGTCAGTGACAACCGTAGCAAGGAGACGCGTGACAGTAGGACTGGCAGCGCGAAGAGAGTCCGACTCCGGGTCGGCAAGAGTAGGAAGAGAAGACTCAGGAGGAGAAGGCAAAGGGGCACGCAGAGGAGCAGTGGACGGACGCAGAGACATCCGGTGCGTGCCAGGGACAGGAGGAGGACGCTGACGCGAACCGCGACCACTAGTGCGAGCAGCACGGACAGGCGACGCAGGGCGAGACGCAGGCTCACGACGCTCAGCAAGACCTCCAGTAGGACCAGTGTAGGGAGACAGAGCAGGCAGTGGGGAGGCCGGCTGTAACTGTAACTGCGACGGGACAGGCTGTGGACACTCTAAGGGAGGAGGAGGACCAGTAGAAGGCGGGAGACCAAGAACCTGCTGAAGGAGCGGAACGAAGTACGGCCGAGGTCGCGCGGCGACTCCAGACACAGGAGGGACAGCACCAGCACCCGCAGGGGCAGCACCAGCACCAGTAGCAGCTCCAGCTCCAGAACCCCCAGCAGCACCAGTAGTACCCCCAGCAGGACCGCCTCCAGGACCGACAGCAGTAGCCTCCGCGCCAACACCCGCAGCAACTCCAGCTCCAGAAGTACCCGCAGGTCCAGCAGCTCCAGTACTCCCAGTACGAGCACCTCCGGGACCCGTGACACCAGCTCCCTCAGAAGCAACAGAACCTCCAGTACCCGCAGCACCTCCAGCTCCAGCAGCTCCAGCAGCTCGCCTCCAGCGCCGGGCAAAACACTCACGCAGCTCCTGGGGAGAGAGTGGCTCTCGGCGAGAGGGAGCACCCGGTGAACCGCCAGGCACAGCACCACCAGGCGTAGCACCCCCAGGCTCAGCACCTCCAGGCGTAGTACCCCCAGGCTCAGCACCCCCAGACGCAGCACCCCCAGGCTCAGCACCTCCAGGCGTAGTACCCCCAGGCTCAGCACCCCCAGTCGTAGTACCCCCAGACTCAGCACCCCCAGGCTCAGCACCCCCAGGCTCAGCACCCCCAGGCGTAGCACCCACACGCTCAGCACCCCCAGAGTCAGCACCCCCAGGCTCAGCACCCTCAGCAGCACCAGAGTCACCAGCAACCTCGACAGGCTCAACAGCGTCTACCTGGGACACACCTGAAGGGGCAGGACCCTGAGGGGGGAGGGGGTCTACCGGGGGGGGACCTGGTACAAGGAAGAGCGGTGGCGGGGGGAGGGACGGAGTGCGGTAGGGGAAGAGGCGGTAGTAGGGGACCGACTCGTCGAACGTGACGTCCTGGGAGGACAGAACACGGCGAGAGGTGGGGTGGTAGAACTGCCACCCTGGGGCGTCAGGGGGGAAACCCAGGAAGACGCAAGGAGCAGCACGAGGGGACAGCTTGTCCGCAGACAAGTCGCGGACAAACGCCCGAGATCCCCAGACACGGAACGCAGACGCATCGCCAACCTTCCCCGTCCACAGCAAAGCTGGGGAGGTCTCCGGCATGGAGACCCTGGGCTGAAGGTTGATCTGATGCGCCGCGTACCGAACCGCAAACGGCCACAGAAAATGGGGGGCAGCCGCATGCATCATGGACGTACGGGCGACGTCCATGACCATGCCAATGCGGCGCTCAGCAATCCCATTTTGCTGTGGAGAGTCCGGAAGCGTGAAGGTCTGGCGGATGCCTCGTGCACGACAGTAGGCTCGCAGAAGGCCAGAGGAGAACTCTCCGCCTCTGTCAGAGTGCAGACGCAGAACAGGAAAGTCCGAGCCAAAGCTCCGCCTGAGCTGGAGACGAGCTGCGCAGATCCAGTCGATCAACACCTCAGTGACATCACCCTTGCTGCGCAAGGGGAAGACTGTGGTGTAACGCGAGTAGTCGTCAACCACCAGCAGGAAGTAGCGCTCGTGACCCTGTCCACGGACGCGGGCCGGGCCCCACACGTCCATGTGAAGCGTCTGCAGCGGGGCCTCTGTCGGAGGAAACTGGGAGGAGTGAGGGGTAGCCCGCTGCCGTCCCTCGACACAGGGGACGCAGGTAGGGCCTGGCCCCGGAGGAAGGGGAGGGAGGGACCGGGGAAGACCAGAGACAAGGACACGGGAGGCCATGCTCCGGAGACGAAGCAGGGAGGGGTGGCCAAGGCGGTGGTGCCAGAGGAGAGTCTCGTGAGACAGGAGGCGACACGAGCAGGGGGCAGACTCAGGACCAGACCTGGACGCTGCAGCAAACACCTGACCCGACGCAGCTACCTGACCAGACGCAGGGACTGGAGGAGACGCAGTGGTCAGTGTGTACAGGCTCGACCCTGGCCGACATGTAAACGTGGCCAGGTGGCGGCCTGTCCGAGCGTCCGTGCAGTGGGTCACCCGCTGACTCGCAGGAGTGAACTGGTGAACCCCCGCATCCTGTAGGTCAGCACCACTCACCAAGTTCGTAGAGAACGAGGGGAGGTAGAGACCAGACAGGGTGCCAGAGGGGGCCGCCGGACACGGGAGGACAGTGGAGAAGTGAGCAAGGACAGGACCCCCAGAGGGGTCTGCCAGGGAGACCGCAACTGGCCGGCCAAGCGGCGTGAGTGTGGTGCGGTCTCGAAAGAAGGAGCGAGAAGCCCCCGAGTCAAGTGTGAAGGTGTGGGAGGCCGAAGCCGACGCAGAACCTGAGAGAGCAGACTCACCAGCACCTGAGGGAGCAGACGCACCTAGAGCAGCAGCCTCGCTAGCACCTAGAGCAGCAGCCTCACCAGTACCTAGAGATTTCTCTCGACGGCGCTTCATTCCCCCCGCAGGTACCGTAGCTGTGGGCCGTTGCGAATCTCGCGTTCATCCATCCATTTTTCACCCATCCATCCAATCCCCTCCACACACCAATTCTTCGCTGCAAATTCGCAAGCGTACGCACGATCACTACTACCATTCGTCATTCGAACCACACTCCCTTCATACACTCCACATCCGGAATCCACCTTCGCACTTCTTGAACGGTTAAATATGGTCCATTTGGTAAACATGTTGTTGCAGAAGGTCTCAGAGCGGTAACAATCCGAACCAAACCGATTTTCCCAGGGTGCTCCACGCAAGTGTCAAAATGTTGAAGCAAGGTCAGACGGACCTCCTCCCACTTCCACAAAGCACACTTTCACTCACACCCCTTTTCCCCCATGAGCAGCCACAGACTACCACCCCACACGTTTTCCCCTTTTCCTCTTTACAGCTGATAATTTCCCAGTGGATTCCTTTTCCCATATTATGAACTATAATATGTTCTAGACGCGATTCGAAATTAATTAGTACAATTTAGAGGAAGCACGATCATCGTGCTATCATCGCGGCGTGATGAAGCACGCAACAGCTCTTCCGCTCGGCGCGCTGCTGCTGTTGACGTGTTACTCTGTCTCGCGCGTCGAATGCGTACCTCTCGTAAGTCACAGGGTGCGTGCCGCCCCGCGACGCCACTGTACACTAATCCTCATGATCCAACAATATCTGAGTCAAAGTATTATTGAGGAGCATCGCGCCGTGGCGTGCTGAAAAAACCTTTAAAAGTTGAAACTGCTTCCCGTGGCGTCGGCAAACGCGTCTTTCTATTTTGCCATTTACTGCGCGATCCGCGGCGGCGTCAGCACCTCACACTGCCGTCGGTTTCGTGGTTCGGCGAACTAACTCTTACAAACGAGCCGCAAATGTATGTCGCAAATGCTACATAAAAAGTGCTAAATGTTACGTCGCAAATGCTACGTCGCTGTAGTCCGAAAGTGGTAGAGATCCTCGAGCCACTGTCGGGTGACATGCCAACATGATGCATCACCGTGTATTTATTACCGTGAATCAGTTATCAGAAACCCTAATCGGCGCAAAACCATCATACGTCCACTGTAATAGAGGCAGTACACAACTCATCCCCCCCATGGTGCGAAAACGTCCTGGTGCCAACGTCCTCGTTGGCTCGGAAATTCAAGGAGTCGGCCCCGCAAGAACCTAGATATCTCCGAGAAAGGTGATAGCGACTTCGCTGGTGGGTCAAGCCAGGGGAGTCTGGTACCATGCGGAAAATGTGGACCAGTCGAGATTCGAACCCAGGCTCTGGGTCAAAACGAGGGTGTTAATGAAGCGCAGTTTGATGCCCTTCAACCCTAGCCCGCAGGCATTACATTCCTTTTTCACTGACCCCTGTGCCCTCCTTGCTCTTCTCGCGCCCTTCCTGTACACTGAGTGGAAGTGGAAGAGCAAGCGATGAGACGAGGTGGGGGGGGTGTGATGAGGTGGGAGAGAGGGAATGTGATGAGAGTGGTGGAAGACATGATGAGAGGAGGGCGTGTGATGAAAGAAGGGAGACTGATGAGATGTGGGGGGCATGCAATAAAGAGAAGTGTCTGGACCACCATTTGAGTCCTCTCCAATCTATTTTCTGCCTTCCTCTCCTCCAATGGCTGCCCTTATCTCCTCTCTTCCACTCCCCTCTTCCCCTCCTCCTGCCACCAGCGCAAGTCCTGTTGGACTGTCAGAAGGCGTGGAGCACAAAATTTGACGGCTGGGTGGTTGGTGGGGACTGCGACAAGGCCAGCAGTGTCACGTGCGATCCCCAGGGCATGATAACTGATGTGTGAGTAGACGAACCGCACGCACCCCATGCGCTGCATGGACCCTCTAACACCCCCCAGGTCCCTCATGGCCGATGGCCCTTGATGCTTCCGATGTAAGGAAACCCCAATGCTTCAGATGTGAGCGGATTTTGTGAGCGAGTGAGCCATGACCCATGGGAGTGGATCACATGGACCCTGAAGCGTGGAGAATACAGGCACAGTGCATGACTCCTCCTTGCCTTGCCTTGCCTTGCCTTTACTCCGCCACCTCCACTCCACCTGCCTCCCCCTCCCAACTTATCTCCCTGTTTTTGGAAAACAACAACAGCTCGTTACTAGCTGCCTCGTTTCCAAGAAGGAGAACACGATTGGTTGCATTGCATCATGCATGTCACATGCATGCCACATGCATGCATGCATGGCACATGCATGCCACATGCATGCTATGCATGGAGCATGTTTCTCCCATTGCCAATGCGACTGGCCATTCCTGAAATCCAATATTCCGCCCCTCAGGAGTATTGTCGACGAGAACCTAAACGGCTCCATTCCGGCCTCTATCAGCAACCTGCAAAGCCTTACCAACTTGTGAGTGCTGCTGTGCTCCTCCTTGGGTGGGCTGGGCATGTGAGTTAGCCGCTCACACCTTGCTTGAGTGAGCCGCCCACACCTTGTGTGAGTGCTGTGCCTTCTGGACCCGAGACCTGTCACCTGGGGTGTGCCTGGTTTTGAGGCGCCACAAAAAGTGAACATGTTACGTTTTCGTTCGAGACTGTAAGCCACGTTGTTTTGTTCCAAGTCTCACCGTTGACCGCTGCCAAGCTCGTTACGTGGCCTTTCAATCTTTCTTGCCTCTCCTTCCAACCCTTTTTTCGAAAATGCAGATATATATGGAACAGTAGCCTGTCTGGCCCGATACCAGCTACTATTGGCAACCTCCGTAATCTGTCCAAAGTGTGAGCTTCTTGACCAGACAGACACGCGTTGGACGATGCTTACATTGTGATCCGCACTCACATTCTCTGCTATCCCAACACTCTAATCCGCTAGTCTTCTTAACCTTGAAGCGATTCTTTTCTCAGAATAAAAGGGCCGCGCCGAGCCAGCACATCTTGAGCTAGTAGGGGGTTGTCCAATGCATGGCGGTGACTCTTAAGTCAACTCGAAAGAGGTGACTTTTGAGTCGACTCGAAAGGGCCGAGCCGTGCCTGCACGTCTTGAGATAGTAGAGGCTTGTCCATTACATGGTCCGATCCAACTTGACCCGACCTGAACCAACCTGAGCCGACCTGACCCGATCTGGCCCGACCTGAGCTGACCTGAGCCGACCTGAGCCAACCTGAGCCGACCTGAGCCAACCTGACCCGACCTGACCTGACCTGAGCCGAACCTGAGCCGACCCGGGCCGACCTGACCCGACCTGACCCGACCTGGGCCAACCTGGGGCGGCCTTAGCTGACCTGAGCTGACCTGAGCCGACCTGAGCCGACCTGAGGACCATGGGCCGAGCTGAGCCGAGCTGAGAGGACCATGGGCCGAGCTGAGCCGAGCTGAGAGGACCATGGGCCGAGGTATTGGCCCAGGGACTCAGGCAAAGTGGACGAGTGGGGGGAAGGGAGGGAAGGAAAGGATGGGGAGTGCAGGAGGTGTTGAGACGATATTTGTCTGCTTGTCACGTACCGCATGGCTTGCCACTTCCCGCATGGACTGTCGCTTGGGGCATGCATGGCAAGAATTGTTTTTATTTCTTTTAATCAGTAGGCTGATTCCAGTCTCACGGCTCGCTGGCTTCTCTAGGTCGTTCATACATTCCTGTATGCACCCACTCATGCCGGCTGGCTGATCTTGAGCTGACGCCCCATGAGAAAAATTAGGGTCAGGTCGGGTCAACCTATGAGTAATACTCGGTTCATTTTCTCTGTATGCATGCGCTCTGTATTAATTTGGTTTTCAGGCAACTGGGTTACAACAGCTTAAGTGGCACCCTCCCTGCATCCCTCGGCAATCTGAAGAGCCTTGAAAGATTGTTAGTGTTTTTCCTCGTTCGGTTAACACGTGAAGACGAATTTGTTCTGAAAAGACACAAAACAGATCTATTGTCTAGTAGCCATGTTTGTTTGTTAGTGCTGTTGCTCCTTTTTTGGTTAACATGTGCCTCGTGTTCCTCGTTCGGTTAACATGTGCCTCGTGTTCCTCGTTCGGTTAACATGTGCCTTGTGTTCCTCGTTCGGTTAACATGTGCCTCGTGTTCCTCGTTTTTAATCATATGTTAATGCTGTTCCTCGTTTTGTTGACATCTGAGGTGCATGCTTGTAACAATTCGGAAGCAGTGGCTCTGGTCTTGTTGATGGGCTTGACTCCAATGTACTATAGATGATGCAAGTAAAAGCTCGTCCAGACTTTTGAGTCGACCCAAAGGTCTGAACATGCGGTTTCTTTGACTCCTATATTGTGTGTGTACTACAGATGATGCAAGTAGTGCTAGTTCGTTCGCACTTTGCCCATGTCTTCCATCCTCGTTGTTCTATCTGAATGTTCACTACTAGACTAAAAAAAGCCCTTAGCCTGACATACACTGAGCGTGTGCTCGTTCAAGCTTGGTTTAGCGCAGCATTGAGCACCAAGCATTCTTCTGGTGGTCTGTTCTGTGCATGTGGCACCAGCTGTGCATGTGCATGTGTCTCACAAACGTAGCTTCTTTGCTCACCGCCTGTTACTGCTGCTGTAGCATAGTTAGTGGAGAATGCATGCTTGTACTCACAAACCTCTGTCTGCCCATTGCTCCCATTTTGCACCCTTTTTCCGAGATGCATACAACTGCTTTATAACAAGGTGACTGGCTCCATACCAGCAACGTTCACCAACCTTGTTTCATTGACCTACTTGTGAGTTATTCTATTATAAGAGCTCTGAAGTCGTACAACATTTTTTTGGCTCACATATTTTCCTCTCTATCCATTTTATGTTGATCATGTTTTTAAGTTAACGTCCTGAACCATCATATCAGAATTTCTTGTTTCCCTTATTTTTTTTTTAACAAGCAAGACAATTCATTGTAGCCTGTGATGCAATGTGATGTGATGGTGTGATGTGATGCGATGTGATGTGATGTGATGATGTGATGTGATGATGTGATGTGATGTGATGTGATGTGATGTGATGTGATGTGATGTGATGCGATGCAATGCGATGTGATGTGATCTGCTGCGTTGTGATTTGCTGTGATGGTGTTGGTGTGATGTGATGATTTTATGTGATGTAATGGGATGGTACTGGGATGAAATGGGAAGCGACGTGATGCTATGTGATGTGATGGGATGGGACGCAGTAGCATGCGATGGTACCATTTGCTTCTCTCTATCTGCACTGTCACAACCACACTTTTGTTGCATCTGCTTTTATATGAAGAGGCAATGCAGTTGCGAAGCTTCGAGCGGTTTTGGGCGACAATGAGCGACCATGGGCGACCATGGGCGACCATGAGCGACCATGAGCGACCATGAGCGACCATGAGCGACCATGAGCGACCATGAGCGACCATGAGCGACCATGGGCGACCATGAGCGACCATGAGCGACCATGAGCGACCATGAGCAGCCATGAGCAGCCATGAGCAGCCATGAGAAGCCATGAGCAGCCATGAGCAGCCATGAGCAGCCATGAGCAGCCATGAGCAGCCATGAGCAGCCATGAGCAGCCATGAGCAGCCAGCAGCCATGAGCAGCCATGAGCAACCATGAGCAGCCAAGAATAGCCACGAGCAGCCAAGAATAGCCATGAGTAGCCAAGAATAGCCATGGAAAACAACTCACTGCCACTGTTCTTCGTTTCAACTGTTTCTGCACACCGCTGCCTTATGAATACCCTACGAACGCCTTGTGTCTCTCGGTCGGTCCCATCAGTAACCTTGGCTAAAACAGTTTGACAGGCACCATTCCTCTATCCCTGCATGCGTAGTTTTGATGTTCCCCTGTTCCTCCCTGCATCCCTGCATTCCTCATTCCAACATCAGTAACCTTGGCTACAACACCTTGACAGGCACCATTCCTGACTTTCTTGGCAACCTCCCAAAACTTTCTCACATGTGAGTGCCACTGCTTGGCATGAATCGACATGCGACCCACATCACATGCAGACATGAGCACAAGGGCGAACATCTGTTCGGTTTGCCCGAACATGTTTTTAACGAACCGAACATACCATGTGACCCACCCACATCACATGCGCACCACATGTCGTGTGACTCCCCCACGTCACATCACATGCGCACCACCCACATACCATGTGACCCACCCACATCACATGCACACCACATGCCGTGTGCCCCACCCACGTCACATGCACACCACATGCTTATTCTTGACACCCTTGCTCCGGCTTTCCATTCCTTCTGGCTTGCCATTCTTGCTAAGTGCTCGGCACGCGTCACTCTTTATATGATCAAATCAAGAGCTGCAACCCTCTGATAAAGAACGGCCATTATGCCACTTCATCCGCTTGCTCTATGGCCCACCACAACCTCGGATTTGGTTTCGACTCTGCTTTTTGCGTCCACACTCCCCATGGAAAACAGATATCTACATACGAACAATCTGAACAGCACGATACCTGCCTCTCTAGCGAACCTGTCAGGCCTCGGAGATCTGTGAGATGCTTGACTTGTTAGGGCGGTTCGCCGCTGCCCTAGTGTCTACCGACCTATGCTTTTGACCTAGGGTCGGTAGGCACGATACCAGCCTCGTTCGCCAACCTTTCAGACCTCAGAGATCTGTGAGTTGCTTGACCTGTTGTGACTTTTGAGGCGCCTCAAAACATGACCTGAATTTTGATGCGCCTAAGAAAGCGGCATGATACCCGCCTCACTGGCCAACCTTTTAGAACTCGGAGATTCTGTGAGTCGCCTGATTTGTTGTGAGATGCTTGATTTGTTGTGAGATGCTTGACTTGTCGTGAGATGCTTGACTTGTCGTGAGATGCTTGACTTGTTGTGAGATGCTTGACTTGTTGTGAGATGCTTGACTTGTTGGGAGATGCTTGACTTGTTGTGAGATGCTTAACTTGTTGTGAGATGCTTGACTTGTTGCGATATGCTTGACTTGTTGTGAGATGCTTGACTTGTTGTGAGATGCTTGACTTGTTGTGAGATGCTTGACTTGTTGTGAGATGCTTGACTTGTTGTGAGATGCTTGACTTGTTGTGAGATGCTTGAGCTTCAATAAGATTTGAAAATGTTTTGAGCCGCTTGACTTGTTTGTTTTGAGCTGCGTATCCATATTCTTGCAATGTCAATCCAGCCACGTGTGAGTGAGTGATTGTCCATCAACATATTCTCGTACCTTACACACACACAGCTATGCACACCACCGCCTACATATGCATGCAGTGTGGTCTTTGAGCTTGCCATATTCATGCTTCCCATTTTTACTCTCGCAGACTCCTGCAGTTCAACAAGTTGACCGGCACAATTCCAGAATCGCTCTACACTCTCACAAACCTAAACATGTTGTGAGTGCAGCGCAGTTCAAATTGGCTTCCCAGTCACGTTAGCCGTAGCCAAACTGCGCACTGCACACGTGCATTTCAGCAACCACGACTTTGCTTTCGTATGGACCATATGGACCATTTGGCATGCTTTGAATATTCCTGTGCCAAGGGGTTTGTGCCTTTTGAATGAAGGCTATTGCAGAAGTGGTGTGGAAGAAACGAGCGTGAGTTTGTAATTGTATGCTTTTCATTCATTCATTTTGAGTAAAGTGGGCACTTGTGTTGTGTTGACGATCAAGCTGTTGGTGCTCGAGCATGGTAACGGAATGAGCAATCTGCTGTACCAGTTTCCTCCTTGCGCTGCATTCCATGTATGCAAGCTGCCTACAACCATACATCATTCATCATGCATGCTGCCTGTATCCATTTAAGCATTCCATGTATGCATGCTCACAACTGTAATCTGGTATTGCATATAATCCCTTTTTTACACATTTTCTCCATAAACGCAATCTTCTAGACAACTACCTCACTGGCTCGGTCTCTACGAAAATAGGCAACCTTGAAGCATTGATGGCCGTGTGAGTAGTGACCTTTTCAATAACACAGGCCAGATGACTCTTGTATGGGTTCCACCCACCCGTTGGCTCCAGGTAACCCACCCACAAAATTTATCCAAAGGGCCCCCTTTAGCCCATGTTTAGACTGGTCGTTCGGTCACTGAAATGAACCAGTGGTCAGGGGCGAATTGGGGTAGGGGGGATAGCGATGTGTGACTGAGAGATGGATACGGGAGGTGACGGGTTTGGGTGGGGATGTTAGCTTTGAGACCTCCCTTGGTAGAGACGTGAGATTGCCAGTGATGGTTCTACCAGTGACGGAAATGCACCAGTGGTCAGGGGCGAAGGTAGGAAGGGGGGATAGCGGGGTGTGACTGAGAGATGGATATGGGAGGGATAGCAGCAGTGACGGGTGAGGATGTTAGCTTTGAGAACTCCGTTGGTAGAGAAGTGAGATTGCCAGTGGTGGTTGGTTCTGCCAGAGACGGAAAACAAGGAAAAGTGGCAAGATGCTGCTAAGGTGGTAAGAGATGCTGTGCTGCTATTTGATGGTGATTTTGAGGCGCATAAAAAATCACCTCAGTGCGACGGGTAACAAGGAAAAAGTGGCAAGATGTTAATGTGGTAAGAAGTTTTCTTTTTTCACCGTACGTTTTGGTGGAACTAGCCAAAGATTTACGAATTAAATCTCAGCAATGCTGATATAGGAAGTACTGCTCGCTCCTCAGCAACGCTGATATAGGAAGTACTGCTCGCTCCTCAGCAACGCTGATATAGGAAGTACTGCTCGCTCCTCAGCAACGCTGATTTAGGAAGTACTGCTCGCTCCTCAGAAACGCTGATACAGGAAGTACTGCTCGCTCCTCAGCAACGCTGATGTAGGAAGTACTGCTCCGTGCCATATTGCATAACCTAATGCCACCAATACTTTTTTAATTTGTCATTGCATTTGCACGTGCCTTCCATCATGCTCCCATCATATCATCATCCATCTAATGTCAGGAACCTTGGCTACAACTACTTGACAGGCCCCATTCCTGACTCCATCGGCAAGCTCACGAATCTGAACGCCTTGTGAGTGCGTCCCTTCTTGGTTTGACGTGTGACCAGAACCAATGCTACTGTTAAAAAAGGAAAAATGCCAGGAGCAAAGGAGCTAAACGAAGAAGAAAGAACAAAAAAAGTCCTCATTTTGCATGGCATGTTGTCATCGCCTGATTTTGACTTGCAACTGTGGCTGTAGGGGTCCTTGAGTTGAGTTGACTCTTAGCAACCCTCTCCCACGTTGAGCCCTTAGGGCGTGGTGGTGCATGCATCATGTGCAACCGCGGGTTCAATCAGTGCGAGGGACGATTCGCAAGCTTAAATCAAGTTCCAAGCTGATGAGCGTCTCAAGATTCGCAAGCTCAAATGAAGGTTCAAGCCGATGAGCCTGGAATTTTTAAACCTAGGCCCAATATTTGTTGCACGCATTGCAAAGCAACTCTGCAACTCGTGACCAGTCTCGCCGATCCACGAAATGTCATTTACGTCACGTTTTGCTACTTGCCCTTGGCGCGTAAGAAAAATGAGGCGAATGGTTACTCGCCTCATTGCTCGTTGTGCTGCCTGTCTTTGATCCAAAACAGCACCTTCCAGTTAACGTCCCTTCTATAATACCGATGATGTATGCAGAACTGGGAGTATATTTTACCACGACCTACTTTTGTATATGTTTCAGATAGATGCTACGCACCCTCTGTTCACAGCATTGTTCCTTGACATCCCCGGGGTACAAATCGCAGATTTCTATGGGGAAACAAAATGACAGGATCGATACCCACAGTGATAGGCAACCTTCTTTATTTGACTGAGTTGTAAGTTCTTTCAGTGGATGAACAGTGGGGCGTTTTATTCGTAAGCCTCTGAACACTATGTGTAATGACACAGTGTCATCGACACACATGCCTTTGTTTTACTGCTCATTTGATGTGTTTTAGATTCACATGATTCAGATCAGACTACAGCGATTGCCTTCTTCATTACTCATTATTGTACAGGCTGATTTAACACATTTATTACATGTCTTACTTATAGTACAGTACCACATGGTCACAGGCCCTGTTTATCTTTCCGGGAGTTTCTTCCCTGCTACTTTCGTGCCTGCACCAGGTCCCTTTCTTGGAACAACCTCACAGGCAGCGTCCCAGATCCCATTGGCAACCTCCTGCAGCTCACAAACTTGTAAGCACACCCAGTGTCTCTTAAGCTGAAAGCACACCCATTGCTTCTTAATCTGAAAGCACACCCATTGTCTCTTAAGCTGAAAGCACACCCATTCTCTCTAGAGATCAAAGCACACGCATTGCCTCTTGAGCTGAAAGCACACGCATTGTCTCTGCAGCAGTACCCGACCCAACTCGACCCAAGCCTGACCGGACCTGACCCGACTGGGCCGGACCGACCCTACCAGGCCCTACCCTCGGGTCAACCCCAGTCGGGCGGGTTGAGTCGAACCGTTGCTCAACTGTATGGTGGCCTTGGACTTCAATAAGGTTGTGACACTTGAGTCGACTCAATAGTCGCCTCTCGAAGTCAACCCTGTCCCAGCCTTGGACTTCACAATGTTGTGACTTTTGAGCTGATTCAAAAGTCGCCTCTCAAAAGTCAGCTTTATGCTGGGCCTTGGACCTTAATTGGATTGGAAATGAGGAACTAATTCACCACTTCCCTCCACCTGCTTCAGAGTTAACTGATAGAAGGGTTTTTTAGTTGACTCAAACATTATCATCCCTATTATGTCCGTTTGCCTTCAAGAACGTACAAGGCAAAGGGATTGACCACTTCTATTCAGGACAACAGAGTTCCGCATACGGATTTCTGTATTTTGTGACATGTATCCAACCATGAGTTTGCAACCTCTTTGTATGTGCAACCAACAATGCTCCACATGCAGGGAAATTAAAGGAACCAATCTGTCAGGACCACTCCCTCCAACTCTGGGCAAACTCTCCAAACTTAATCCATTGTAAGATACTGTGTGTGTGTGTGTGTACGTGCCTGCGTGCGTGCGTGTGTGCGTGCGTGCGTGTGTGCTTGTTTTCTCCTCTTTTTTTATTCCAATAACTATGAATTAGAATAATAAATTGCTCTGTTCTTGTTTGCCTGAAGAGCTGCACGCCCATCGTCTCGATCTTCTAGGGAGCACCCACATGCATAATACTTTGCTGGTGTTTGTGTCGAATACCCAGCAAGCACCAACTTTTTTGCTAGCACCTTGATGTTCTATGCTCTTTTTACTCTAAACTCCCTTCTGCCCGTCCAGGAATCTGTCATTAACTGCGCTCACGTGCCCGCCTAACAAGAGTCCGTGTTTGGTTCAGCAATTCTCTCAAAGCGCCTTATGCAGCAAGTGCCCCTCCTTCTGCGCCACCTGCAACAAGACAGCACCACGTGAGCTATAACAAAATAAATAGAGAGTTACAAGAGAAGAGATCGAAGGTCCTCTCCTCTCTCTCACGGTTCCCAAGCATCAACTTTTTGTAGTCATACTTTTGCTGTTACACTGCCCACATGCCTCCCAATGCAACCAGCCAGCATGGCACTGCATGGTCAAATGTACGTGCCACCTACATGGCCTACTATCATTGCCACATCTCTGCTGTAATTTCCATTTCATCCATCACATTTCATCCATTGCATCCCCACTAGTTTGCTATCTGTCACATGTTCGTTTCAAACCCATCCTGTCCCCGTCTCTCCATCCCTTCCCGTCTCATCCCCATCCATCCCTCACGCACCACAGGCCCACCCTCTCCCCCTCCAGCCGCCCCCTCCTTCACTCCAACTTCCCCCACACCGACCCCATCCTCCTCCTCTGACCCCAACTCACCCGAAGCGCCTCCCTCCCAGTCTGGTGGTGGTCTCTCTGTGGGAGCCATTGCCAGCATTGCTGTGGCTGCTGTGATGCTGCTGACCATTGGCATTGGCGCACTGCTGTGGCGGCGGAGAGGTCACAACAGATGGGCAGCACGTGCAGCAAGTATGATGTCCTGTCCATTCATACTCTGTTTAAACCCTTGAACTTAACAGCTTGACTTGAATTTATTTATATCCTTATTCAATAGGCGAGAGACGGAAGCCAAGAAAAAGAACGTTCTTTTCTTGAGACGCCTCCAATGTACCCCCTCCTCCTGCCCCTTGGCTTTTGAAACGTCTGAGAAGTTCTTTCTCCTTCATCCATTGTTCCTCCTCCTTTTGACCCTTTCCTCTCTTGCGCAATCTTGAGACAAACATATGTCTCCTTCCTTCTACCCTTCCTTCAGAAACTAGTGTTTGCAACGATATGGCAAACTGGATCCGCTGGCACGTGGCCTCTCCTTTCCTTCATCTCACCCCACACTATCACCACTCACACTCCCTATCTTTACCCCATACTATAACCCCTCGCACTCACCCTTTTCACCCCACACTCCTCGCACTCACCCCTTGCACCCCACACTACCACCCCTCACCCCTTCCATTCATTACAGGTCGCTCCGGCAGCATGTCGGGCGCTCACTGCACGGAATACTCTCTTGAGGAAGTCCTCACAGCTACGTAACCCCTTTTTCTTCACCCCACCCACACTGACACAGGTCGCTCCGGCAGCATGCCAGGCGCTAACTGCACGGAGTACTCCCTAGAGGAGGTTCTTGAAGCCACCAGCAACTGGTCCTCAGCCAACCAGCTTGGCTCGGGTGCCTTTGGTGACGTGTACAAGGGCGTGTGTCCCGATGATGGCACCACCCTGTGGGCCGTCAAGAGAGCCAAACTGATTGACGTGGATTTTTACAAAGAGGTGGGATCGGCTCATCTCTGGTCACTTGTGAGAAATTTCAAAAGTGGGTGTTATGATGGAGTGATGACGTTGAATGGGTCTTTTCCTTTCCATTTCGGTTGCAAAGCTGCTCTTTAGGCATGAGCAAATGGCCCGGCCCGATTTGACCGAGTCATAGGACCCAAGCCCGGGTCGGGTCGACCCCGAGACAGGTCGGGTATCTGTACCCGCTTTCGCCCTCCAATGTGCGCAGGTCGGCGATTTCAGCACTAATCGCACAAAATTGTTGAAATGAAAGTTCCCAACCAACTCGCCGCCATTTACCACTCATCACCGCACTGAATCTACAGAACCCAACACCTGTACACCCTTTTACAGATCTCGACATTGAGCACAGCCCAACACTACCGCTTTAGCCCATAGGTTACACCCCCCACCCAAATCTCAAATTTGGCGTGCGGTCTGCTGATTAAGCTCCTAAACGACCCAATTTCTTCATTGTCGAGTTGATTTTGGGTTTGCCCGACCTGGGTAGCCAAAACGGCCCGACCCGGCATAAAATGATATAATAGGGTTGTGCGGGTCGACCTCACCCGGCCAGGTATATCCGGCGTGACAGTGCCGGGTTTGCGTTTGGGAAAGGCCAGCCCGACCCCGGCCAGGTCAACCCGATTCGGCCGAGCACTTTGCTCATTCCTAGTGCTTATTATCGAGAAACTGTTCCACATTGGGTCTCCATGCATTTCGCCATGGCATGCCTCTTGCATTCTGCTGTGCTATGTGAAAGCCATTTCGTCGACACTTGTTCCTCGCATCATTCATCCCGCATTGATGTGTACCTCTCCTTTCATGCAAGTTTCCTCGCAGGTCCAGCAAATGGCCGACAAGAACCATCCCAACATCGTGCGGCTGCTTGGGTTTGCCATTGGAGGGGACATGAGGACACAGCCAGAGCAAATCCTGATCTATGAGTTTGTTTCCAACGGCGACCTTGACCAGTTTGTTAAGAAAGGTACGTCGCACATACATATAGAACCAGTTTTTTGTTTTTTCTTTTGTCACTCATTGTGTCACCCACCATGATTTGTAACTAGTGGCTCATGTTATGACATTCTCAAATCCCTTGCATCTCTGTGCAGAGGCATCCTTCACCCTCACCTTCCAGCAGCGGCTGGACATCCTCATTGGTGCGGCACGTGGCTTTGAGTACCTCCACAGCTTTGGATTTGTGGATCGCAACATCATACCTCCTCGGGGCAAACATGCAGGCAAGCAAGCGCTTCGAGTTGACAAGTGTGTTTTGAGTCGACCCGATTCGGCCGAGCACTTTGCTCATTCCTAGTGCTTATTATCGAGAAACTGTTCCACATTGGGTCTCCATGCATTTCGCCATGGCATGCCTCTTGCATTCTGCTGTGCTATGTGAAAGCCATTTCGTCGACACTTGTTCCTCGCATCATTCATCCCGCATTGATGTGTACCTCTCCTTTCATGCAAGTTTCCTCGCAGGTCCAGCAAATGGCCGACAAGAACCATCCCAACATCGTGCGGCTGCTTGGGTTTGCCATTGGAGGGGACATGAGGACACAGCCAGAGCAAATCCTGATCTATGAGTTTGTTTCCAACGGCGACCTTGACCAGTTTGTTAAGAAAGGTACGTCGCACATACATATAGAACCAGTTTTTTGTTTTTTCTTTTGTCACTCATTGTGTCACCCACCATGATTTGTAACTAGTGGCTCATGTTATGACATTCTCAAATCCCTTGCATCTCTGTGCAGAGGCATCCTTCACCCTCACCTTCCAGCAGCGGCTGGACATCCTCATTGGTGCGGCACGTGGCTTTGAGTACCTCCACAGCTTTGGATTTGTGGATCGCAACATCATACCTCCTCGGGGCAAACATGCAGGCAAGCAAGCGCTTCGAGTTGACAAGTGTGTTTTGAGTCGACTCAAGACATCGAAGCCGCCAACTAGGCATGAGCAAATGTCAATCACAAACATGTTCTGTTCGAACATGCCGAACAGGTATACTGGGCGAACCGGACATGTTTCTGTTCGCCCCAACACTTTCTGAAGAGAGGTGTTTGGTCGTTCGCCTAAAGAGGCGAACACCTACATGTTCGCCCGGAGCACGAACATGTTCGGGGCGAGCATGTTTGTGTTTGACAACACAACAGCATTTGTTATAGTCAGCACAACCACATCCATTAAGCCTCTCTGCCTGCTCGCCTTCCCTGCTGATCATACTAGCAACTCCAATTTACCTTGTTACATGCTTGTATTGTCATGAGAACAGTGTCATCGCTAAGTTCAGTACAATACAGGCAACTTTGCATAACGTACAAGTTGATTCAACACAATAAAATATACAAGGCATTGTTCTGTTTATTCTCTAGCATGATTGTCTCTGATTCAACTTATACATCATCCATCAGGCCAAGATCGGTGACTTTGGACTGTTGAGGGTGGGCGAGGGCACCACAGTCGGCACAAATCGGGTCATGGGAACACCGGGCTATGTGGATCCCATCTACTCACGCACGTCCAAGGCCACCACTGCCACCGATGTGTACAGGTGAAAGGCCACCATTGCCACCGATGTGTACAGGTGAGCTGTTTTGACCCGCCTCACTTCCACTCATGAATGGCCACCACTGCCACCAATGTGTACAGGTGAGGTACAGTTGTCATCAGGTGAAATACGACTATGAGTAGGTGAAAATTCCAGCTATTAAACAAAGCTCTCTTTGCGAGGCATTTATTATGTGCCTAAGCAAATAAAAACAGGTCAATGCGTGACAGTTTTGGTCATGCTTGTGCTCGTTGTGCTTACTGGGCGCTTGCTTTGCTTTGCTCATGCTTGTGGGTTATGTCATCATCTAAGGTTGGTGAAGAATTCACAAGTCAGTAGATCTGCACTGGGGATCTTCGATTGATCCTAGGGCATGTTACAGGCCTGCTGCCTGGGGGGATATGGGCCCACGGACCCGCTACTTAAAAAGCGTTTTTTATCCCAGTGGTTCAATGGCTGGAATTCTGACATGGTATCAGAGCGAAATGTCTCGGGTTTGAATCCTCATGTGTGTACATTTAGGCCGTTGCCGCTGTGCCGTGTTCTAGGCCTCCCGGTGTGGGGGGTGTTAGCAGACCTGCGTTGGGGATCCCCAGTTGACCCTAAGAAAGGTTACTGGCATGCTGCTTGGGGGGTTATGGGTGCACGGGCCCGCTACTTAAAAAAATCTTTTATCCCAGCGGTCTAATGGCTGGGATTCCGACATCACAGTGTGGTAAATCCTTGTGCGCTGCTTGCCACCCCCTCCCCTTCTTTGTGTGTGCAGCTTCGGTGTGCTCATGCTTGTGGTGATCACCGGTCGCAGCCCCCGCTCTTCCGAGGGTGAAAAAAACGGCCACATTCTGCGATGGGTAGGTGCTGCTGCTTTGTGTGCGGTGCGGTGGGGTATGTTGTGTTGCTTAGATATGAGATGTCACTGTGGCAAGTGCGGTTGGTTCAAACAGCACTTTGCCGAAGTTGGTGGCACGAACAGCCACGATCCCTGCATTGCTGCTTCATGCGCGGCACACATAGTGACGTTCAAGTTGGCTTGTTGAATTGCATGGCCACAAGCTGCAATAGGTAGGTGTTTCTGATTGGTGGCGAGTTTGCAACAACAACAGCGTTGTGTAAAGTATTCGAATACTCCCCTGTGCTGCGCCACTCCCTGTCCGTGCCCCCATCTCCACCCTCCTTGTTCTACCCGTCAGGCCGAGGATTGTGTTTCCTCCAACAACTCGGCCCTGCTCAAGGACCAGGACATGGACGCCCCGGACGATGCTGTGCTGCGCCTGGCCCAGCTGGCTCTGCGCTGCACTGTGCAGCGCACTGCAAGCCGGCCCAGCATGGCCACCATTGCCAACGAGCTGCAGGGAATCAGGCACGAGGTGGTGGGGAAGGAGGTGCTGAGTGCAGCGGTTAAGGTGGATGAGCAAGCAGAGGGGATGCGAAGCGGGACGTCGTATCCCAATAACTTGGCTGCAATGTTGGAAGCTATTAGGAGCATGGAGGAGGGGGAGTCTACTGGGGAGCAATCAGGTATCATCTAAAGCATCACCTGAAGTAGCATTGACGCATGTAGACCTGTATTCGGCCTTGTAACGTCGAAGTGCTATCCGACCTTATCAAAGTGCAAGTAATGCTTCTTCTATTATATATGTTAGGTTACCATGCTTCTTGACTAGCAAAATACATCATTCCCCCAAGAAATGTGTTTTAGGCGTCACAATCTCCTTTTTCCTTAGGGTACATTCCTGTGTGGACACTTGTGTCTCAATGTCCGTTTTCCCGAGTCGTATCTGTAAATGTTCAAATTCTCGCGTCACAAACAACTGATGTATTGCGACGTTGTGGGACAGAAAGCAGGGCACACATGGTCGAATTTGGCTCACAACATTGGGCCTGAGCCTTTGATGTTTGGCGCCGGGCAAAGCTGTAAACAATGTGGCAGGATGCAACAAACCAAGCAGCTGGTTCAACGCACCAAATTGCGTCACAGCATCACACACAAGTGTACATCAGAGGATCATCCGTGGCAATCCTCAACAAGCTCATCACATACACGCTGCAGCCCTAGCTGTAGATGTTACCATGGCAGAGCCTCGTGCTGTGCCATTTCTCATGCGGCTGCTAGTCGCATGGATCACATTCTACTATACCATTTTTATGGACGTAGTAGGACGGGCGGTCGGCGGCTTGCTGGAAGCCGATGTCTTCGTCGATGATCACTCCACGGCAGAGAGCTCACATAGCTCCAACACGACGTTCGGCTGCGCCGCCGACGGTACGAGCTGCTAGACAAAGACCTGCAGGGCATGGGCGACACGGAGTTCAGGGATCTCTTCAGGATCAACCGTGCCATTCTTGCGCACATTGCCGACGGCATGGAATACTACATGCTGCCCTACGTCGAGCGTTACTTCATCACGCACGATGTCGCTTGGTAGCAATAAAGTACCTGGCTAGTGGTATGGCGTATGTGGACCTCGCACGCTTCTTCGGGCTGTCGAAGACCCATGCACTCGTCGACGTGTGGCTGATGCACTTCCCCGTCTGTCTTCAAGCAGCAGTGGGTGCACTTCCCGACTCCAGAGGACCTCGCCGACATGGCCAAAGAGTTCCGCGCCGTCAAAGGAGTACCTGCTGTGGCTGGGGCTATAGATGGGACGCACATACACATAAAAGGAATGGAAGGGCACAGACAAGAGTACTACACGAGAAAGCCGGCATAAGCAATACAACTGCAGCTCACATGTGATGCGCGTGGCATCATATGGAATTACCTGATCGGATACCCAGGGAGTGCTCACAACCAACGGGTGTTCATGAACAGTGCGTTACAAGAAAGGTTGCACAACGGCGACATAGCCCCTTATCAAATCGTGGGAGATGCTGCCTACCCACTTAGAGATTTCTGCCTGACCCAACTACATACACCCCGTGAGGGCCTAATGGAAGACTGGGAGCAGTGCTTCAACTACTGCCAGAGCGCAACACGCATGGCGTTAGAACGCTGCATCGGCACCTTCAAAGGCATATGGCGACTATTCGCGGGCCGCAACGACTGCCAGCTGTGGCGCGTGCTGGCATGTGCGTCTTGCTGCGTAGCCCTGCACAACATGTGCGAGACAATGGGGCAGGTTAGGTGCGTCAATGAGGTGTGGGTAACCCTGCCACGGAACCGAGACCCATGGTGGACACGTGGCGCGGTCGATGACTTCAAGTGGGAGCCATGTGTCCCTCTCGCACAAGCAGCACTCAAAGAGCGGCGCAAGCGGCTGGGTGAGGCATTAGAGGCGTCGTACCTTACTCGGCGTCGCCGCAAACCCACACCTCCTCGTCCGCATCCGAGTTAGCATGAGCGTCGCCGGACTTACCGCGACAGAACCATCCGTCGTCGCCGCCTTCAGTGGCGGCACAGCATCTGCGGGAGCGTTGTGGCGTGCAGGCAGAGCGAGCACAGTCTGCTGGAGGCGTTCGCGGGCAATTCGCCTGTCCTGCTGCATCCATGCGCAGACGAGGCCTTTGAGCTTGCACATCGCGTCCTCGTGGCATCCCTTGATGGTCTCACAGACCAGCTTCGCGGCGGCCATGGTGGCAGTCTCTGCGACCCACGAGCGGTTGGAGGGCAGGGTGCACTGCGGAGGGGGGGCTGGATACGCACGCAGAGACGGGAGTTGTGGGTTAGGCTTCGGGTGTGTCTGTGATGCGAAGTTGTGAATGATAGACTACGATATGGTAACAACACACAACTCAGAAACAAAACATATCTAGTGTTCACTCACTTGTAAATGTTGGAGTAGACGTCGTTGGAGCGGACGTAGAAGGCACAGTGAACCCACACGGCACGTTAACGTTCGTCGCGCCTCCGGCGGCCACAGCATGCGGGTTGGCGACGACCCTATTGTTCTGGAACAGTTCCATGTACGGGAACCACGGAGGCTTGCACACAGCACCCTTGCCCGACGCCTTCTCCCCCTTCTTGAGCTGCTTGTAGATGCAGACGAGGTTGCGCCACTGTTTCTAAACTGCGTTGACGCCACGAACCCACCCGGGATTCTCCTTTTCGAGGTGACTGACGAGGCGCGCCCAATACTAAGAGCCTTGCTTCCCGAGCAGTGGCTCGAGTTCGTCTTTTATGAACCAGCGTGTGGCCACAAAGATCGTGTTCTCCAGTGGGGACCAGACGCTACGCTTCACCGGCAACTGGTTGCGGGTCTTCAGAGCGCGGCGTGGTGGCTCGCCACCCTAGGAGGCGGTCTTCGGTGTGGCTGCAGGCTTAGCACGGCCGCCGCGTGTGGTCGGTGCCGAGGGCTGCGTTTCCTCCGGTGCGTCGGCATTATCCTTGGACTCGTCGCCCTCGCCGTCATCCTCTGAGTCGGACATTCCCTTGTCCTCTTCCTTGCCAGAGTCCGCCTCGTCGTCGATGCCGACGGCGTACGCGTTATAGTCGCTGTCGTCGTCGTCGTTGTCAAGCGCCTTGTCGTCGACGACGCGTGAGGAGGCAACCATGTCCGCGCCACGGCGCCCGTGCGTTGGAACGTCACGCGGTGCTTGGTAGGAGGTGGCTCCTGGTGACGGTATTCCTTCAGGCAGTGGGCCTGCGGGCTTGCGTCCCGCAGCAAGCTGCTTGTTGATCCAGGCGATGTACGGGATCTCATTGAGATCCCGGGGGACATCAGTTGCAGCGTCTGCTGCTGTCTTGCGCTTCCGAGCCATGGTTGCCAGAGAGAGGAGTTCTAGAAAAACGGGAGGCAATAGCGGAGAGTAGATCTTGGCAGGAGCTGAAGAAGGGTTTGATGTGGATGAGCTGCTAGAAGGCTCGGGAAGATGTGTTTCGGATGGCAGGCAAGGATCCGTTGCCTACGGGCGTGGGTCCGATTGGATATAAGGGCGGTTTCTTTTCCCGCTCAAAACTGTCACCACATCGTGCGTCGATTTGCATGCGGTCGAGCCGGGCAAATGCTTGACACTTCGACACGCGTGCGATTTTTCATGTGTGGCGGGGCCTCGTCCAACTCGTCCGCGATATTACCGCATGTCACGCTGACCAAGGATAAATACAGTAAAGGTCGCACCAGGGCGCCACGCGTTTCTGACATTGTACGTTATATGTTATTTTTAGGTGTCACAAAGCGTTTGAGATCCAAATGTCGACACAGGAATGTACCCTTAGACGCATCTCACTATCGCGCGTTATTATCTAATAAAATAGGACTCAGGAGGATAGGAGGCTAGTAAGGTAGCGAGATTGAGATTGAGAAGTACGAGGAAGAAGAGGGTTTCAATACCGTCATCACCCGGATAGAAGATAGTGTTGGATTGTAGACAGGGGTGTCTTTAATACGGGTGTTTTCTTATAAACGGAAGTTCCTTTTATAGGAGACCATATTACGGGTATGGGATAAGACATATATGTCATTTAATCGAAACATAAAAACTTAATGTTGAATCAGGTTATAGAGTGTACGTTTTTGCCTGAGCACGCGCGAATTCATCCACATGATGCCTCAGATGATGTTGTATCTGAGTCACATGCTGCTTCAGCAGGTTTTCCTCGTGATGCAGCGTATCCAGGAATGTCGGAGTTGTCCCATCATTGGCTTCTGTGCGGAAGACTTGTTCGTGGGAGTTTATACATTAGTATGAGAGAAACCGTTCATCTTAAAAGTTTCCCGTATAGAAGATTTATAAGATACCCACTACCTTCCTTTTATAAGATAAACTCCCAGTTTTGTAACCGATATCGGATAAGACCCATATGTCTTATATCCGGGCGATGACGGTAGAGGTCTAAGGGCCTGAAAACTACAAGCAAAGCATGGGCTCCTTGGGTTATACCACCAACAGGTGTAACGGTCAGGCCCTCAGATTCACTTTGAGGGTCGTCAACCCATCAGGGTCCCCCTGTGTGTAAACTCTGATTGACAGTGTTCCAAAAAAAAATTGCGGTCCCTGTAATTGCGGTCAAATCCACATGGCACAGGTAAGAATCGCTTTAGTGTTGGTTTCGTTACAACGTTGTGGCATCAGTGTCCTAGGGGAAAAAAGTCTGAAATTTCAGTGTGGCCTAACAAAAAAGGCTGAAAGATCAGTCCCTCAAAAATCTCAACACTGACTTTTCAGGGTAGGTAAAAAAAGGACTGCCAAAATCAGGAATTTCAGGGTTTTTTTCCTGATATCTGAGGCCCTGGTAACGGTAATAGCTGCTACGATCAGAAATTGATCGACCCTAGGATCGCCTCGGAAAGGTTCGCACGCAGCTGATTGGTAGTGGTGGGCCCTTGACCTCAAAGCATAGTGAATGTGAAATGTATGAAACACGTAGTCCCAGTTACCATAAACGTCCATTTCTTAAGGCAGTACCGATTGAACACATATGGCTACTATCCGAGCGATGCCAGTATTATGTCGGATGCTGCTTTAATTGCTGATTCAAAAGACACCTCATTGTTCCCCGTTACCCTCTTCATCCAAGCTCTTTATAGCTTGCAACGTTGCAGCCAAGTCATTGGGGTACGACGTTCCACTTCGCAACTCTTGTGCTTGCACATCCACCTTGACTGCAGCACTCAACTCCTCCTCCCCCACCACCTCGTGCCTGATTCCCTGCAGCTCATTGGCAATGTCTTCCATGCTCGGCCGGTTTGCAGTGCGCTGCACAGTGCAGCACAGAGCCAGCTGGGCCAGGCGCAGCACAGCATCATCCGGAGCGTCCATGCTCGGGTCCTTTAGGGGGGAAGGTTTGCCAGAAGAAATGCACCCTTCCACCTATTAGAAGGAGGTGAGAAGGGGGGATAGGGAGAAGATTGGGGATGGGTACTTGTCACAATGAGGAGAAGAGAGTGCATGTTTAGAAAGTGAGGCTGGTTCGTCCATGCTCAGGTCCTTGAGTGGTGCAGTATTGTTAGAGGAAATGCACCCCTCCACCTGATTGAAGGAAGTGGGGGTGGGGATTGGAGAAGACTGAGGATGGGGGCAGGTAAGAGTGAGGAGATTGGTGCGTGTGAAAAATATGGTAGTGAAAAAGTTGGTAGTGAAAAAGTTGGTGGTGAGAGAATCATCTGGGATTGAACGCTGAGGTCCTTGGAGCTGGCTGGGGTTTGACAGACATGCAATCATCCACCTGCTGGATTTAATGGTGAGAGATTTGTTGAAGGAAAGTAGGGAATATGAGGCATTCCTACTTGACTGATTGAACAAGGTGGGTGAGAATGGGGACAGGTCTGAGCAGTTGTGCCTGATGGAGAGAATTATTCTTGTTAGTCGAGCACAGCTATGCCATCGTGCCATTGTGCCTTTCTAAAACAACTGTGCACTACCTTGTTGTTGCATGCTCTCCACAATGAAGAAACATGTACCCATCGCCGCCTACCACCATGAAAGCTACCCAACGCAGAATGCTGCGGTGCTTTGCCATCTCACCAATGGCAAAGCGGTGCTTGAACCAATGCGTGAAAATCCACAGGGAAAACTCACATGAACGGAATACTGCAGCAGCACAAAAGCAGAAGCACCTACCCATCGCAAAATGTGGCCGTTCTTTTCACCCTCAGAAGGACGAGGGCTGCGACCAGTGATCACCACAAGCATGAGCACACCGAAGCTGCACACATGGAGAAGAGCAAGGGAATGGCAGAAGCACACAGGAATGCTATGTGCTTCACACTGAATGTGCACACATTGGGATGAGAAACACTCGGTGAGCACCACGAGCATGAGCACACTGAACCTGCGCACACATAGAGGGGGAGAGAAGGATGCCACTGAGCGTCAGGGCTGGTGATTTGCACGGTCCATAAATTGTGTGGAGAGGGACACGGAGGGATGTACGCTGTAAGATGAGGTGCTATCTACAGTTCCCAGCATTTGTAAAGAGTGGCTGCCGCAGTTGTGGGGCCCTCATGCCGGCTGATGGTTGCCTCACAGAAGAGCTGTGAGATGTAAACAAATGACCATGTACCAAAGTAAAAACTTCTTTACTCACTTGAGAATTCAGTGCCAGTCCAATGGCAGCGGTTGCCTCACAAAGTAAGCTATGAGTGTAACTTAAAAATCCTGCTCCGTAGTCCCACTTCACCCGATGACAGCAATAGCTCGCCTATACACATCAGTAATGGTGGCCGTTCACCTGTACACATCGGTGGCAGTGGTGGCCTTGGACGTGCGTGAGTAGATGGGATCCACATAGCCCGGTGTTCCCATCACCCGAGTCGTGCCCACGGTGGTGCCCTCGCCCACTCTCAACAGCCCAAAGTCAGCAATCTTGGCCTGCCGGATGGTGTAATAATAGAAACATTGCCAACAAGAATGATGGAAGTAGAAATTGAAGAAGGGTTCTGATAGCTTGTTTGTGTTAAGCTAATCACCACAAAGAATATTTGTTATTTCTCTTGTATTCAACTTGACATTCTTACGTGATAAGTTCATTGCGTTTGACTGAAGAACTTGCCTGCATGTTTGCCCCAAGAAGGATGTTGGCGGGTTTGATGTCGCGATGCACAAGGCCAAAGCTGTGGAGGTACTCAAAGCCACGTGCCGCACCAATGAGGATGTCCAGCCGCTGCTGGAAGGTGAGGGAGGAGGAGGCCTCTGCACACATGCAGACAATAAGAGAGGGACAGAACATGAGAGTGACAAAACATGAGAGGCAGTACGTGATACACACAGCATCAGTGACAGAACATGGTGCATGACACAATGAGTGACATAAGGGCCCCAAATGTGTGTTCCAGAAAATAATGCTACGTACGCTTCTTCATAAACTGGTCGAGGTCGCCGTTGGGAACAAACTCGTAGATCAGGATCTGCTCTGGCCGTGTCCTCATGTCGCCCCCAATAGCAAACCCAAGCAGTCGCACGATGTTGGGATGGTTCTTGTCGCCCATTTGTTGAACCTGCGAGGAAAAAGTCAGGAATAGACAGAATGCGAGACAAGCATGAACAGAGTGAAGGCACACTGGCCTGTTATGGCTGAGTGCATGACGAAGCGTAGGCTGCGTAGCCCATATGGAACACTTTCTCGCAGCTCACTTCATAGCCAAATTGGAAAATATAGGCCCATTCAGCAAACATAATCAATCCAACATATTGCATTGTTATAGTGCAAACTCGTTCTTAAAAAAAATAAAATCAATCCAACATAGCCGCTCAACCTTTTCTGCAAATCTACAGGAATCAGACAGGCCCACTTTGTGATTTCCAAATAAGAGCCAGACCCGCACCTTTGTGAAAGTCCATGTCAATCAGTTTGGTCTCGTTTTGAACTCTCTCAAGTGTGAACACCAGAAGCAAGTCAGTCTCACCTCTTTGTAGAATTCCACGTCAATCAGTTTGGCTCGCTTGACGGCCCACAGGGTGGTGCCATCGTGTGGACACATGCCCTTGTACACGTCACCAAAGGCACCCGAGCCAAGCTGGTTGTCAGAGGACCAGTTGTTGGTGGCTTTGAGGACTTCCTCCAGCGAGTACTCCGTGCATTGAGCGCCCGACATGCTGCGAGCCCGGCCTGTGACAGTGGGGCAAAGCACAAGAGACAGATGTTTCTCCATAAAGAGAAGAAGGAGGCAGAAGAATGGATGCTGGATGAAGAAAAACGTCTGTGATATCTCAATATTAAAGCAGCAGGAGAAATGGACACCTTTTCAAGAATATGAACATAAAGACACTTCTTTTCTAGATCAGGTTTCAGTGAAGAGAACTCCAAGGCGCTCCCCTCGACTAGAGTTGCACACGGTTCGAATTAATGTTTTAAGGCTTAGCGTTGAAGGATTTAAGGATTGTGGATGGATGGACACCATACTTGCTGCACGTGCTTCCCGATCCTTGTGACCTCTCCACCACCACAGCAGCACGCCAATGATCAGCAGCATCACAGCAGCCACAGCAATGCCGGCAATGACTCCCACAGAGAGACCGCCTCCTGATTGGGAAGGAGAGGCTTCGGGGGAGCCGGGGGTTGCTGAGGAGGAGGACGGGGACGTTGTGGGGGAAGGTGAAGGCTGGGAGGGGGGTGCTTGAGGCGGAGAAGGGGGGCCTGTAACGTGTGAGGAGGGAGGGGGGGGATGAGACGGAAAGAGATGGAAAGATGAAGACGCGATGTTTCTCAAGGGAAGTGTGAGATAGAGAAGAATATTGAGGCTGCGATGGATGGAATGGAAAGCACGGCAGAGATGTGGTGTGTTGGCATTGAACCATAGTCACATGCCAGCCAAATTGGTGCACATTGAGGATTATGGCAGGGAAACCATAGTCACTGAACCTTCAATCTTATCATTCTTTGCTGTAATTTTTTTTTTACTCACGTGGTGCTGTTTTGACACAGGTGGAGCAGAAGGAGCGGCACTGGCTGCAAAACGCGGTACTGGAAATCTGCGTAACTACACACAATGTCTTGTTAGGCGGGCATGTGACCGTGGTTCCATTCAGAAACCTGCACGTGCAGAAGGAAGAATGAGAATATTAAAACCGGAGAACATCAAAGTCCTTGCAAAATGGTTGGTGCTGGGTAAAGATCCCTGTGTGTGGGCGCTCCCTAGAAAAGTGAGCAGATGGGCTCTGTCTTGGCGTGCGGCACTTTTAATCTAACATTATTGCAGATAATGATGTATCTTACAGTTCCGAGAGTGAGTGAAGTTTGCCCAGTGTTGGAGGGAGCTGCCCTGTAAGATTTGTTTCTTTAAGATCTCTGCTCGTGGAGAATCGTCATACATAGAGGTAGACCATTGTTGAGCACGTAGTCCCAAAGGCATGGTTGGACATACATTTGTTATCGAATATAGAAATTTGTATGAGGAGCTTCGTTGTCCCAAATAGAGATGACCCAACCTTTCTATTTCTATATTCTTAAATTCCAAGGAAAATTGATGTAATGGGGAGGAATATGTTTGTGAGCGACAAAAAAAAAAAGTGACTTTGAGTCTGAAGTCAGATGGAAGGAAGTGGTAAATCAGGTATTCATCTCCGATCCTATCCTGAAGTGGCCCAGTGAGTTGGCTGTGTCACTTCCGATGAGTGAGGGTCCGGGATCAATCCCCCGTGCCGACGTGTTCTGTGTCAGCCTCCCAGAAGGGGGTTCGCACGGCTTACTCTGGGAGTGGATATACCTCAACCTCGTTGACCTAGCGAGTCTAAACAATTGGGGAGGCGGGTTACGACTGACAGCCAGGTGTGGGTAACACCCAGAGGGGTTTCCCCCCTCCTTTACCTTAACCTTCATCTCCGATCCCGTTGAAATCCAAGACCACCGTATGGTTGAGAAACGAGCAGACAAGACCCAACCCAAACCGACCCAGCTGGAGTTAACCACTCGGGATGTGTTCGGAGGACGGGTCGGATCGGGCACGGCTCAAGAGCCAATAGGCTCAAGAAACAATGCGCGTGCTTACAATGTTGTGAGCTGCAGGAGGTTGCCAATGGAGTCTGGGACGCTGCCAGTCAGGTTGTTCCAAGCAAGGTACCTGATGCAAGGGTGGCAGCAGCAGGAACAGGTTCCCCAGAACAAGAAACAGGACCACATGATTTGATTCATAGTTCTTGTGACCATTCTGTATTGAAAACAAGACAGAATATATAAGTGCTGTAAGCATCTTGCATGTTGTACAACGAGTAAAGAGGAAGGCAATCACTTTCAAACAAATCATGTGAGTTGAGTATTTATCAAGTGAGCAGTAGCCATGTGTTTCATTCCAAATAACATTCAGAACCTCATGAGGAAGAATCCTCACTGTCTTTTTAAACAAATAACTCACAAGTTACTCAAATATGTAAGGCTGCCTATCACTGTGGGTATAGAGCCGGTCATTTTGTTTGACCATAGCAATCTGCAATTTGTACAATGGGGATGTCAATTCAATAGAGGAGTGAGGCCGAAAAGTAAATGTATTTGACATCGATTTGGAACTTGGCAAAACTTGCTTTCAGGTTTGCATGTATCACCAATAATGCTCCCAGGACTGCACAATTGGTAAGATAAAAGGGATGCCATCACAATAGCAAACGGCTGTTTTGAATCAGAAACAGAAAGGCATGAGCCACAAAATAAGTAGTCGCTCGAATCGTTTCCTTTTACTAGCCCCAAGGGCACAGTGCGGCAGAGGATTGCTACAAGTCAGTTTGAGGACCGCTGCAGCCACAGTTGCACATGAAAAACAATGATTCTTTCGACATTTCAGGCAAAATTACGGTTTTTCCATTCTTGTTTGACCTGCCAATATTCTTCGCTTGGGAGCAGTACCATACTGCGTTTTCGTTTAGGAACTACTAAAAGCATGCAACATGTGCAACCCTCAGATCATGGAAGTGACGAAGGTCCGATAAGTTGGTTCCGCCTCGCATGTCAAACCAAGAGGAACGCGCTCACAATGATTCCAGATTTGTGAGCTTGCCAATGGAGTCAGGAATTTGACCTGTGAACAAGTTGTAGCCAAGGTTCCTGAAATTGGAGGGATGGTGGATGATAGGACGATGCAAGGGGCACAGGTGGCTCTGATGGTGAGATGCCACATCCGCACAAAATCGTGACTCAGCGAGTCAAAAGGAGTAGTCCTATGAGAATTCTCACGACCTGAAGGACAGGATCGCGAAAGCTGATCGGCTTGCAATGAGCACGGTTCATTTCTCCTAGACGTGTTGTTTCTTCCTAGACCTCAGCTCTTGAAATGATACAATAGCCCCAGCTGAGCCCATCCTGTCTCATTAAGAGACTCACTCACATGCCCGTCAATGCATTAAGGTTGCCTATGCTTGTAGAGATCGAGCCAGTAAGATTGTTTGTTAAAACCCAACTGCATTGTGTGGGAAAAGAAGGTGCAAAGAGAGGAATATATGCCAGATTAAAGGAAGTATGTGAATAATGACTTATGGTGTACGGAAAGGACGAAAAGTGCAAGTAGGAAAGGGTACAGCGAAGTGCACCATGCACGAACATGAACAGCATGATTATCCTAAACATGATCAAACAAAAAGAATGAATCTTTGATCGCATATATGCCTTGCTTAGAATGAACAATAGAAAAAAGAACCCTCGCTCGCTCGTATCTTGCACACTCGAAGTGCGCATAGCTCTTGGTTCAACTGGTGTGCAAGTGTGCTGTTTGGCTGGGGCTGACCGGTCTGGGAAGCCAAGAGGAACTGCACTCACAGTGAGCTTAGATTCGTAAGATTGTATAGGGATTCAGGAATTGTGCCGGTCAGTTGGTTGAAGCTCAAATCTCTGCAGGGGAACGAATGGGAAGCACGCACGTGGCCAGCTCAATCAAAGGCCATACTGCATGTGTAGGTGGTAGTTTGCAGAGGTGTTGAGAATAAGTGTATGTAGTGTTAACGAGAATCGAGTGTTGGCCCTGCCCTCACTTGGGCAAAGACGTCTTTCAGGCCGGGTGCGTGGGAGGAGCAACCGCCCGTCTGCAAAGGTCAATGCCAACTTGGTGGTGCAGGTCAACAAGGTGGTCGACCTGCGGGTGACCGCTGCAATGCCGCCGTCGACGGGAGCCGGCCGCTTATTTCGACGGGGAGATTGTCGAAGGTGATCGTCGACCTATGCGTGGGTTTGTCGAAGGGGTTGACGATAGGAGTTCGACGGCAGCATTAGAGATGGTCGACGGAGGGGTTCGTCGACCAGGATGGTCTTCGACGGAAGCGGTCGTCGACCAGGCACCGGGTGGTGGTACCCGGTCGACCAAGTAACCTCCTCGATGAGGTTCTGTGAAAGCACGCGAACGTCGTCCAAGCAGCTGTGGCGAAGTCGACCGACGTGGCAGCACGTGGTCGACGTGGCTCGTCAGGCGCAATCGTCGGCACGTGGTCGACTTAGCATGGCACCTGCTCGACGGTGCACAACGTGCTCGACCAACGTCGCGCACCTGCGCTACTGTCACTTGCAGTTGCAACATTGGCAGGCCGCTCTGCAGTTGCAGCGTTGGCAGGCCGACGACTTGCTCTGCTTGCAGGTCGCCCTTCTGCAACAATGCGCGCGCGGTGCCTCTACGCAACCCTAACAGATGTCGACCATGCTTCGCTGGCGGTCAACCAATTTGCCCGCTAGGTTGCTGGGCTTTGATTTAGTCCATTTGGCCATTGCTACCTTTGCTAGTGAAACCTTTGCCAATGTTTCTCGTGAGTGTCCAAGTAGAGAACACTAGCAAAACAGCTACGATCACTCATACAACCCGTGCCTTCCCTGTAGTCTAGATTCCACCGTTGTAAAGTGAATCTCAGCATGTAAGACACGGGAATAAGCTGTTGACAAGCACTCACTTTTGAGTGGAAGATGACACCTGTAGTTGTTTGTTGGTAGTACTTTGTAAGAACTTACTTACAAAAAAAAACGGTGGTGATCGGTTTCGGCGTACAAGCCTTCTTCAAACCACAATCTGTTTTACTGAACGACTTATATGCCTACAACATGTCAACCTAGACTCCGACCCGCGCGGGACAACTTTGAGTACTTTCGGCATTTCAGGCAAATTTACGGTTGTTCCATTCTTGTTTGACCTGCCGATATTCTTCGCTTCAGGGCAGTACCATACTGCGTTTTGGTTTAGAACCTACTAAAAAGATGCAACATGCGCAACCCTCAGTCATGCAACTGACAAGGGTCTGATAAGGCGGTCGTGCCTCAGTGTCAAACCAAGAGGAACGTGCTCACAATGCTTCCAGATTTGCGAGCTTGCCAATGGAGTCAGGAATGGGACCTGTCAACAAGTTGTAGCTAAGGATTCTGAAATCGGAGGGATGGTGGATGATAGGACGATGCAAGGGGCACGGGTGGCTCTGATGTCGGTGAGATGCCACATCTGCGAAAAATCGTGACTCAGCGAGTCAAAGGAGTAGTCCTATGATAATCTTCATGAGTTAAGAAAGGGGATTGGGAAATCTGATCGGCTTGCAATGAGCACGGTTCATTTCTCCTAGACGTGTTGTTGCCTCCTAGACCTCGGCTCCTGAAACAATAGCCCCAGCTGAGCCCAGCCTTCATTAGGGCTGAGCCACACCCAGGCTTGTTCCGAGCGGGCTGGCTCAAGCCTCGCTGACAGTCAAACAAACAAGAGATTGCACAAACATGGGCATCAACAACGAACAGCAAGTGTACAAAGGCAAGGCCATCTAGCCTGTCTCATCAAGAGACTCACTCACATGGCCGTCAAGGCTTTAAGGTTGCCTATGCTTGTGGAGATCGAACCAGTAAGATTGTTTGCTGTAAGCCACCTGCATTGTGACGGAAAGAAGGTGCATAGAGGGAGATATACGCCAGATTATAGGAAGTTTGTGAGAATTGATTTATGATGTGCAGAATGAACGCAAAGTGCAATTAGGAAAGGGTACAGCAAAGTGCACCATACCATACACAAACATGAACAGCATGAATATCATCAACATGATTAAATAAAAAGAATGAATAACAGAAAGAGACAGGTGTGCACATAGCTCTTGGTGAAACTGGTGTGCACGCGTGCTAATTGGCTAGGGCTGGCAATTCTCGGAAGCCAAGAGGAACTGCACTCACAGTGAGGTTAGATTCGTGAGATTGTAAAGGGATTCAGGAATTGTGCCGGACAGTTGGTTGACGCTCAAATCTCTGCAGGGAAGGAAATGGGAAGCAAGCATGTGACCAGCTTAAAGACCACACTGCATATGTGAGTGGTAGTGTGCACCGGTGTTGTGTATAGGTGTGCATAGGAATGAGAATAAGCTGTTGACAAGCACTAACTTTTGAGATTCTCAAAAGCCATTGGCTAGATTTGCATTGCAGTGTCATGAACACACAGAACAGTGCCCTCGTTCGGAAAGAAGACGCTCAAGTCAATAAACTTACAACTTTTTGAGAGCTGAAAGGTGGCCAAGGGAAACGGGTATCGAGCCAGTCAGTTTGTTCTTCTCTAGAATTCTGCTTTTCATGGGAGTGTGGATGCAAAGGGCAGAGAGAGGCCAGCGTTGGGACTGTGGTGGGTGGGTGGGCCACATTGAAAGTGGAATGAGATGCGTACTAATGGTCGTTTTGTTCTTGATCAAAGGGTGGCATGGCAGCTCTAGATCACAGGGGGGAAGGGTGGCAGCTCTTGATCATGTAGAGAGGCATATGCCTAGCACACAGGAAGACTTGCAAGCTGGGGATGACCCACAACATGAGTGTTGAGAAAAACCGAGTTGTGTGGGTGGGTGGGTGGGTCACACGGCATGTGCTGCGAATGTGATGTGGGTCACGTTTCAAATCAATGGCAAGCAGCGGTGCTCACAAGTTAGCAAAACGGTGGAAGTTGCCAAGAAAGCCAGGAATGGTGCCTGTCAATCTGTTGTACCCAAGGTTCCTGGTGGGACCGAGAGAAAAGAGGCATGCATGTAAGGCATGCGTAAGGCAGAGTATGCACATAGTGAAAGACAGAAGAGCAGTGACACAATGCTGTTCTCCAATAGTCGCTCTCTCAAGGAAGGACAAAAGCTTGTGTCATGGGTGGCGTTGAAGAGAGGAGGGAGAATGTGAAAATTTTCCACATCACATCACATCACATCACATCACATCAAATCACATCTCATCACATCACAAAACAACACATCACATCACATCAGATGACATCTCATCACATTTAAAAAAGAAAAAAAAATCACATCTCAACACATTACATCAGATCACATCTAATCACATCACATCACATCACATCACATCTTACCATGTCATTTCTAATCACATCTCATCACATCACATCAAATTACATCTCGTCGCAGCACTTAGCATGCACATCACATCCCAACGCATCACGTTGCATCGCATCCCAACACACTACAACACATCACACGACAGACTACAGTCGATGGAAAAGCATTACATTCAATATGGCGGTTGAGGTGGATAACGAAAACTTGTAAAGTGGAATGAGAGGCTGCCATTTGAGCCTAAGACATTGTCCACGACTGCATAGCTCTTGAAGTGCCTATTTGCAGCGAATTGACAGCTGCGCTGCGCGCAGGAGAAGAAGAATACAGTCAACATGGCTTTCCCCTCGTCCACACTCACTAGCCCTATCACCCAAGCAGCTCAAGCTGAATGGCACGAGCCCCAACAAGAAGTGGAGCTATAGCATCGACAAACATCTTCTCAGACGTGAAATCAAGGGCATTTGCCTCGAGGATCTCCTCTTATACTGTGGCAAAGGTAGAATGCCACTTCCCCCCGAGAAGCTCGCAGAAACGGCCTAGAAGCGGAAGCAAAAGCGAAGCACACGAGGAGGCTGTGTGCTAAAGCTAGAAGGCGTTAAGTATGTAGGAAGAGCGGGTTGAAGCCTCACTCATAAGCAGACATGAGCAAAAGGCCCGACCCGACCCGAGATTTTTCTCGGGTCGGGTCAGGACTTTGAATGTCCTGTGCGGGCCGGGTCGAGTCGGGCCGGCTTGGGAAAGAAACCGGCCCAATATTGAATTCTGGTTCGGGTCGGGTTTCGGGCCGACAGTGACCCGACCTGGAATCGAGTCAAAAACAGGGTAACTGGGTCGGGCTTTGACTATGCCAACACCAACTCTGACTACACATCCTTCCGCACCACCTGCTTGCTAGTAACCGCTTCTCTCCGTGCCGCTATGACATAAAGATGGACGACGGAATGCAAGGGCCAAGTTTGTGGCAATGTGAATTATCTTCTCATCACCTGCTTCAAGAATGGGTGATGTTTGGTACGCCACTCATGGCCCAAACTCCAAACCATCCAACTACGCTCGCAGGCGGAAGCTCGATCAAATCAAGGAGGAAGGTGAAGACCCTGCTTGTGACATTCCTACTGCTGATGTGCGTCTCAACTTGTTGTTGAGAGGCACTGCTATTAACAATGCAACATCTCCTCAATACTCGGACTATATCAACCACATATTGAACAAGCAAGAATTTGTGTGCCACAGTGGTGCAGCACACACAATTCTAAGGGGCAATGAGTCCTTGTCCTTCATGCCATACCAATAATCCAAGAAAAAATGCACTTACAAATACTTTAGAGTTGTGAGATTGTAAAGTGATTCAGGAATTGAGCCGGTCAAATTGTTGACTCTCAAATCTCTGCAGGGAAGAAAATAGAAATCACATATATGGCATGCTCGAAGACCATACTGGATATGTAGGTGGTGGTGTGCATAGGTGCTGTATCTAGGTGCGTGTAAGACACTGCAATAGGCTGGACACGAACATCCCACCCGAAAGCCACTGGCTAGACTGCCATTGCAAAGTCAAGAATACACATTACGGTGCACTTGTTTAGAACACTAATGAGATGAATGGGTGAAGCAGGTGGCGGGCACACAAGATGCCACGAGTGAAGTTTCTGGACTCAGGACGAGTAAAGCTCAATCCTCCGGCCAAGTAACTAATCGGAGTCAGGAAAGGAAAAACTGGGCTTGAGATTTCCTTCAAAATTGAAAACTGGAAATCTGAGATATCAAGTTTCCATCAACTCGTAGTCCGCTTATGCATGCAAACAGAAAAGCAAACATCATGGAATAAAACTTTCCCTTCACGGGCTGCGCAACGTGATGGCCTGAACCAATTGTGAGTCCGTCTCCACGTGTGCATGCCTGCGTGCGTGCAACTATTTGTGCGTGCATATGTCTGCCTGCGTGCATGTGTGTGCGTGCGCGCGCGCGCGCGTGCGTGTGCGTGTGCGTGTGCTTGTGCGTGTGCGTGTGCGTGTGCTTGTGCTTGTGCATGTGCGTGTGCGTGTGGGTGTGTGTGTGTGTGTGTGTGTGTGTGTGTGTGTGTGTGTGTGTGTGTGTGCGTGCACATGTGTGCACATGTGTGCACATGTGTGCACATGTGTGCGTGAGTGCATGCGTTTGCGTTTGTTGTTTGGGAGGGACCATGTGACCAAGAGGAAGTTAAGCTTCTTGTGTGAGCCAATGGAGCAAGATAAGAGGCTTCTACCCTGTTTAGCCCAATTTGAGCGGCTCACAAGATGTCGAGAGGCTCAAAGCAATTCAAGAGGCTTACAAATCCCCGAGATCTAGGTTGCCTAGTGAGGCCGGTATCGAGCCAGTCAGGTTGTTCACATGTAGATACCTGCTTTTTATGGGAGTACGGATGCAAGCAAAGGGCAGAGTAAAACCAGATCCGCGACTGTTGTTGGCCACAGTGGAGGCGGATGGAGAGGCATAAAGGTCGTTCTTGATTACAGGGTGGCAGCTGTTGATTGATCGTATAGAGTGGCATGTTTCATGCACACAGGAGGAGCACAGAGGAGGAGCAGCAAGCTGGAGATGACCCACAGAGGATAAGAATGTGGTGCAGATGTGTCGGGGGTGTGGGGTCACATGGCATGGGCTGGTTCACATGAATGATTTGACAAGCAGCGGCACTCACATGTAGGCAAGATCTGGGAGATTGCCAAGAGAGCTAGGAATGGTGCCCGTCAAGCTGTTGTACCCAAGGTTCCTGGTGGGACCGAGAGATACGAGGCAGACTATTGGTTTGCGGATATAGTAGTTCTGATAGCACCGCATCACATTGCATCTCATCCCCTCTAATCCCAAAACACCGAATCAGATCACAGGACAGACTACAGTAGAGGGAACACAATACATTTCTATATGATGGGTTGATAAAGATAACGACAAATGTGCAATTTGGAGTGAGACTCGTACGCCTGAGGCAAAGAAACTGCGTAAGACTGCATAGATCTTTTGATGGATTAACTTACAAGCTTGTCAACGATAGAAGTCCACCGAGCGTTGATGGTATAGAACCAGTCAGCTTGTTCTCAAGCAGCCACATGCATCTCAGAAATAGGGTGCAAAATGGAGCAGCGGGGAAACAGAGGTTTGTGAGAAGGATGCATGCAACAGCAACAGGCGGCGAGCAAAGAAGCAAGGAGGCATCAGGGAACTGAGGCCCTGATTCAAGCCTAAACTAGCAGCACAGCACTCAGCGTATGTGAAGCTAAGGACTTGGTTCAATGAAGCTCCATTACGTTCGATGAGGCGTGGACGATCCACAATTCTTTCCACAAAGTCCGGACTTTTATTGCGGTTAAAATCGGTCCATTTGTGTACTACTAAGTTGCTGTAAGGTATAGAAGGTTGCAAAGCAGTGACAGTCTGGACTTTTTTTACTTTCCCAGGATGTTACATGCCCTAAGGCATGGCATGCGTTTTAGGAGTCTGCTCTGCACCACTACTTGCATCAAAATACACTAATTTGGAGTCAAGACCTCAGCAACTCACGCGGCAGTGCTGTCAAGCACGAGCATGTGGGGTCTGTCTGGCTGAGATGCTCACGTGTCAACTAAACGAGGGACAGCCCTTCACTTGCATGCGAACGAAACCAGGAAAACCTCAGTAACGTTATGAATTGCAACGCCGCTGAAATACTACGCAGATGCTAACCAGATGAAGATCAGCACATTGACATATCGACTGAATGAGGAACACTACTCATACATGCCAAGTAAAGGAGGAACAGCACTAACAAGACTTTGACGCTTTTGAGATTGCCAAGGGATGCAGGGATGGTGTCACTTAGGCTGTTGTAACAAAGTGCCCTGATGAACGGATGAACACGGAGGGCATGCATACAGAGAAACAAGCAGCAATTGATCTCAGGACCACCTTCCTTCTCTGGGTTCTAGATTGCGACTCACATTCAGCCGGCTGGAGATTCGTCGCAGGAGCATCTCAACTTTCACCCGAGTGGGCCATATGCATTTCCTCGTTGTTTTGCTCCCTTGCACCACTACCAACCAAATACTGCTACGTTACATTAGACACCAGCATGAGCCAACTCGAGCCTGATTTGGCTCGAGTCAATGCCCAGACAGCAACCCAAGCCAGCCCAGGCCACGCCAAGTCGACTCGGCTCGATCGGTTGTTGTACCCCGTTATGGCTGATCAGCTGAGATCAGCCAGCCTGCTGGCTCGCAGTCAGCAGAAAAGCTCGCTGCCGGTAGACATGGTCAACGAGGTGAGTAATACTTCCTTTCTTTTTGTCATGGATCGATCCTGGTGATCAAGAGACCAGCCTTTCGGCAGGAGAGGAATACAGAAAGACAAACAGACAACCTAGAGATGCCTGCGAGCCATGAGCTTGGAATTAGCTTGCTGGCTAAGGAAGACCAACCCTTGCCATGCGGCAAGTGGCAAGCCATGTATGCGGCAACTGACAAGCTCTGACGCCCTGAGTGCCAAACCTGGGCATGTGATCGCCTACCCTTGGCTCAGGTCGCGTTGGGTTGTGCAAGGGACCAGCCTCTCCGCGTGCCGACTCATCAGCCCTTCCACAGAGAAAGAAAAAATGTCGTTCTAAAGTTGCAGTTTATTTCCACTTGGAGTGTTGCTCGGATCATGGAGAATTATTGTGAGCCTGTGAAGCCGTTGTGGTGGAGAAACTCACAAGTAGGTTAGTTTGGGAAGGTTGCCAATAGCCGATGGTATCGGGCCAGTGAGGCTACTGTCCCATAAAGATCTGCTACGAGAAAAGGAGGGAGGGTTGTAGGGAAGGAGAGACTGAAGGCTGAGCAACGAGCGCGTCAGCAACTACATGAGACTTCGAATGAAACGACATCATGGTTCATAGGCTCGAAAAGGTGACACGCTCTTTTTTGTTGTGCCTCGGAACCAGAAATATTCGAGGTTCAGGAGGCAGGCATGGCACTCACAAGGTGTACGTACCTCACATGTCTCCATTTGAGTGCCTTGCATCACATCTCTACAGTCTATCCAAGGAGGATAAGCACAGCACTCACAAGTAGACGAGGCTTTGGAGGTTGCTGATAGAGCTGGGGATGGCCCCATTAAGGTTCTCGCCAGAGATCATTCTGATGAGCGGACATTGGAATGGAGGAGAGGCCAGTCGCATCAGTAATGGAGGGAGAACATGCATGTGGCTTGCGTGTGGCATGGGTGTGGCATGGGTGTGGCATGGGTGTGGCATGGGTGTGGCATGGGTGTGGCATGGGTGTGGCATGGGTGTGGCATGGGTGTGGCATGGGTGTGGCATGGGTGTGGCATGCATGCATATGATTCATGTGTGCATGTGACATGTGTCTGCGGCATGCGTGAACGTAGCATGCATGCGATGTTATATGGGACGTGTGATGCACACATGCATGCATGTCATAAGCCTATGATGCGTGCGGGCATGTGACATGAAAAGCACATCAAAAGCACACCATGTCGCTTAGGAGACAAAGGTACATCCATCATATGATTCGAAAAGAATTTGTTGAATTTGCACAGACATTGCCTTAGCATGCTGAAGCGGAGTTCCCAGAAACATGTTAAAGAGGAGAGAGAGGAGTTAGGGCAGATGGGGAGAGATGGGAGACGACGGACACAGGAAATGCATTGAGCGGTTGGGATGGGGAAAGCAGGGGTGGAGGATAGGTTGGTATCGGGAGCGGGGTCAGGCTCGGGGGGAATGTGGGGGGAGTGGGGGGGGGGGGGGGGAGGGAGAGGGGAGAGGGGGAGGGAGGAGGAGAGGGGGGGGGGGGGGTGAGGGACGCTTTGGAATTTGGGGGAGTGATTGGGGAAAGGGGGAACGGGCTGCAAGGGGTGACGGCCAGCATAAGCAAGGAGTCGAGCACAGCTCGCCTCAATTTTTTCTTGAGCCATGACACACCATATTTTCATGGGACATCGAAGCAAGTAGTCACTTGCTTCTTTTCTTTCTTGAAAAGGGGGTAAGGAGGAAAGGGAGGAGTTCTCAGAGGGAGGGAGGAGCCGTGGTCCACTCCCACGGATCTTTTCACGCTTCAGGGTCCATGTGGGTCCACTCCCGTGCCTTTTTACATTTTACTCACAGAAGCTGGTTCATGTCGCCTGAAGCATCGCGGTCCTCGTAAATGAGAAGCATCAGAGTCCATTTGGGGCCATGAGGGTGCATGAGGGTCCATGGGGGTCCATGAGGGTCCATGAGGGTCCATGAGGGTCCATGAGGGTGCATGAGGGTTCATGGGGGTGAATGAGGGTCCATGGGGGTTCATGGGGGTCCGTGAGGGTCCATGGGGGTCCATGAGGTTGCACTCACATCTCTGTGATCATGCCCTGAGAGTCGCACGTGACGCTGCTGGCATTTTTGCAGTCCCCACCAACCACCCAGCCGTCAAACGTTGTGCTCCACGCCTTTTGAAAGTTCAGCAGGACTTGCGCTGGCGGCAGGAGGAGGGAGGGGGGAGGCGTGGAAGAGAGGAGAGAAGAGCAGCCATTGGCCGAGGTGGGCATAGAGTAAAACACTTCTCTCAATGCATGCCCTCCATATCTCATCAGACGCCCTCCTCTCTCATTGTATGTCCTCTACCTCCCTCATCGCAATCCCTCCCACTGCACCTCATCACCTTCCCTTCCACCTCGTCATTTTTATTCCCACCTCATCGCATTCCCTCCCACCTCATCGGTTCCCTCCCACCTCATCGAATTCCCTCCCACCTCATCGAATTCCCTCCCATCTAATCGCATTCCCTCCCATATGGTCGCATTCCCTTCCACCAGGTCGCATTCCCCTCCCACCTCATGACATGCTCTTTCCACTCCTGCCGGCTAGTACAGGAAGGGCGCTGAAGGAACTAGGAGGGCACAGGGATGCGTGAACAGGGAAAGCGGGCTAAAACTTTATTGCGCCATATCGAAATCACTTTTGATACACTCCTGCCGGCTAGTAGTACAGGAAGGGCGCTGAAGGAACTAGGAGGGCACAGGGATGCGTGAACAGGGAAAGCGGGCTACAACTTTATTGCGCCTCCCCTCCCCCTCCCCTTCCCTTCCCTATCCAAATCCCTCCGCCCCTCTCCCATCCTGCGGGCTTTGTACACGAATGGTTGAGGGCATCCGCTAAGCCTTGAACATAACCCTCCATGGGAAGAAGCGGGGTGTTACATGGTCATGTTGACAGATTCATGGGATGTATCGTATTGGGCTTTACACGCCGTCACGGTAATGTGAGGGATGTCACCTCGCGGCGAGTGGGGCGGTGCCGCCAATCGCTCACGTGGTTAAAAAACCAGATTTTTTACGGGAATGGGATACGTCAAAGTTTTGCGCACGCTCACCGCAGCGTTCTTAACGATTCATTGACCCGAGAAAACGTCTCATCATTATTGAATCATTGATGCGGGTTCGACGCGCACCCTGTGACTTGGCGAGAGGCACGCATTCGACGCATGAGACCACGTGCGTCAGCAGCAGCGCGCCGAACAGAAGGGCTGCTGCTGGCCGTTTCATCACGCAGCGATGGTCGCGGCAAATCGCTTAACTGTACTATCAGCCAGCTTCGACTATGGAAAATAAATCCGCTATGAACTATCAGCTGAAGACAGGAGGGTGGAGTGGAAGTGGAAAGTTTGGAATGGGGTGGAAAGTTTGGCATTTTCAAGAAAAACGCCTATAGCGAAGCTAGAAGTGTCTCGAAATGACAGGTGGTATTTCGCACGTGGGGGATGGGACTTGCATTTGCGGTTGAAGGCGATTCTGTTTTATGGCTTAAGGTTTCATTAAATTCTTAACCTGGTACAGACTTAAATACAATGCAACAAGGACTATTATGCAGAATAAACATAAACACCATAAAGGTGTGGGTCAATATACGCTAATCCCCTGCCCCGGAGTGAGCCGAGGTTTGCATTGTATATGACGGAGAGGTTCAATGGGGACGAAAAGGGTCATCCAGGATCCAAGAGGTGCGGATGTCTGAGTGAATGGGAGGGATCTCGTTGGGAGAAAACAAAAAGAACCATAGATGTTTGGCGTGCGAGATGATAAAGGCGGTGCATATGAGTTTTTTTGGCGCGGCGTCAGAGAAATATTTGAAAGAAGATCAGTAACTGAGCCAACATGGATTGAATGGCTTCAAATCTAATCGTGGGAGTGTCCTAAAAATCCAATTTCCGAATGGAAGTTCAACATGGCTTATGTTGATATTACTGAAGGATCGAAGTGGATGGAATAAGGTTGCTACCGTAAGTCGTAGGAAGACAGTAAAGTCTTGTAGTGGCCTTATTCATAAATAATAAAAGGAGAACAAGATGATTAAGATAAAGTTACAAGGAGCTTTAAATAGAAATATAGGTAGCCATGTACTCTGAGGGGTACGTTTCCTTATTTTAACTGTATTGCATAGCTACAGTAACTGCGACTATTGCCATTCCCGACGGTTACCATGCTGCATCGCGTAACCTCTAATACATTTGTCGGTTGGTATATATGTGACAGTTGTCGGTCGGTTGGTATACAGTTGTCGGTTGGTATAGCATGAGCATTGGTTCGGCAATGTCGTCGTTGCCTGCGGACGCCGCAAATCCGACGTGACGACGGGCTTCTCGGGGTGCATTTACGGTCGGAACGGCCCTGAATCTCGCCATGCCAGGCATCAACTGGGCGGCGCCATTACTGGCTGCACCTGAGCGCTGTCCCATACTGTCGTGCCGTGACAGTATGCCAGACGAGATGACAATCGGCTCATCCGTTTGTGCAGGTGCATTTTCAGGCGTCTGTGTTGGTGCAGGTGCATTCGTCGTTGATTGCTGTCGGGCGGAGTCGAGTTCCGCCGTGAGCGTCACGATTTCGATCGAGGTGCTCCTGTTTCAACGTCGCGAGATTCATTTCGGCCATTGCGGGGGTGTCGGGTGAGCTCAGCGGGAGCCTCGGTCATGGCTGTGCGTGCTTACGAGAGAGCACTTCGAACGGCGGTGCTTGTTCGCTGAGAGACGTCCAACCCCTCCAAAAAATGAGATATTGGGGAAGCGAAGGTGTGGGTGCGGTCCGAGAGGAGATCGTAGGCTCTGAATACCAAGTGTTATAAGTGCAATTGAGTGAGCGAGCGAGAATTGCACTATCGAAGCAAAAAGTACATTGAGCGAAAGCATGAGCGATAACTATATAGCGAAGTCCCACAGTAGTAACGGTAACGAACTGTGGGAGTTGCGCGACGGGCCTATGACTGAGGTCGGGGCCGAGGTTGGATAGTGTCGAAGCGGAGGCCCGGAGCGTGGGTTACCAGCCGAACCGTGTGGTCGGGTTGCGATGGGTGTAGTGGCAGGAATGTGGTCGAGGCAAGTGTCGCGAGTGGTAACGGTGCACAGTGTGGCGAGAAAAGTGATGTACGCGCGAAGCAGAGATGCGGCGTAAAGAAAGGGAATTTTCCTTACAACAGGTATCTTCTTTTAAGAACTTCAGTAGAAACACATATTTTTAGGGTTTTTAAAATTGTTACACTCTGGCTTTAGGGTAAAATTTTTGAACTAAGAAAAACCCTGATGGAAAAGATTTTTCCCAAGGGGTCACACTGATAATCAGGGATTTTTGAAGGTGCAGGTCTGTTAATAAGGGTTGCTAAAAACAAAAATTTAGCCCTGCTCCTCCTCCTCCATGCTCTTGATAGCTTGCAACATTGCAGCCAAGTTATTGGGATACGACGTCCCACTTCGCATCCCCTCTGCTTTCTCATCGACCTTGACCGCAGCACTCAGCACCTCCTTCCCCACCACCGCACTTGCCACAGTGACATCCCCACATATACGCAACACAACATACCCCACCGCACAGCACACAAAGCAGCTGCACATACCCATCGCAGAATGTGGCCGTTCTTTTCACCCTCGGAAGAGCGGGGGCTGCGATCGGTGATCACCACAAGCATGAGCACACCGAAGCTGCACACACAAAGAAGGGGAGAGGGTGGCAAGCAACGCACAAAGATCTGCCACATTGCGTATGCTTCACCATCCTTATATGATGAAATACTCCACAAGCATGAGCAAAGTAAAGCACCCAGTAAGCACAAGCATGAACAAACTATCACGTATTGACCATTGATTAATTTGGTTTAGGCACATATTAGCTGCCTCACAAAGAGAGCTTTCGTTAAACAGTTGAGAAAAACTATACCTGCTCATAGCCCTATTTCACCTGATGGCAACAGTACCTCACTTGTACAGATCAGTGGCAGTGGTGGCCTTTCACCTATACACATCGGTGGCAGTGGTGGCCTTTCATCTGTACACATCAGTGGCAGTGGTGGCCGTTCACCTGTACACTCGGTGGCAGTGGTGGCCTTTTACGTGTACACATCGGTGGCAGTGGTGGCCTTGGACGTGCGTGAGTAGATGGGATCCACATAGCCCGGTGTTCCCATCACCCGAGTCGTCCCCACAGTGGTGCTCTCGCCCACCCTCAACAGCCCAAAGTCAGCAATCTTGGCCTGATGGATGGTGTAATAGTTGAAACAGGAACGATCATGCTAGAGAATGAACAGGACAATGCCTTGTATATTTGATTGTGTTGAATCGACCTGCATGTTATGCTGAATTGTATGTATTGTTTGTACTGAACTTAGTGATGACACTGTTCACTCACGAGCCCGTAGCAAGGTACAATGGAGTTGCTAGTATGATCAGCAGAGAAAGTGAGCAGGTCGATACAATTCAGCAGAGAGGCTGTTAAGATGTGCTTGTGGTGCCTAAAATGAATGCTGTTGTATTGACGAACACAATTTGCTCGCCCCAAGATGTTCATGCTGGGACGAACATGTAGGTGTTTGCCTCTTTAGGCGAACGGCCAAACACCTCCCTTCTAG